CGCAGTTTCACGTGAGTTTGGCGACAGCTCGCATGCCCGGAAAAATGATCTTACGTGCCACTTCCAGCACGCGTGCCATAGGTTCGCCCTCACAGCATTAGAAGTTACAACAGCACTGAAAAAAGAGACTTATGAGCGGTCCTCACCCTCACAACTGTTGCAGCATCTCCACAGTCATGCGGTCAAAATTTGGCCACTTGGCAATCAACAGGTATTTACAGCGATTGCAGAATCCTGGGATCATAGGATCACCATTTGTGACCTTCCCAGTTGACTTCCAACAAGCAAAATCAGTGGGGAGGTTCACTTAATGACTGCATGATTCACTTAACAATGACAGTGACTTGCTTAACAACTGTGGCAAAAAAAGGTCATAGAATCAGGCATCACTCATATAACAACTGTCTGGTTAATAATGGAAATTAAGATCCCAGGTCATAAGTCAAGGACTATCTGTAACAGGGATGAACTGCTCTGAAGTCTGCTACTGGTTCACTTCACTACCGGTTCACTTCGTGCGTGCATGCATGGTGCGCACCAACTGCGCACTTCGCACACATGCGCACTGCAGGTACTACCGCGCAGCACTGAAAAAAGAGGATTAAGAAGCCTTTTCTTAGTCTTCAAAGGTAAATAGAACAGCGGTGGGGGGGAAACAGATGTGCCGTGAGATTTAAAAGCAGGATTTCCTGCTTTCTAGCGAATATAAATCATGCGGCACAGCTGATCGTCGGAAATACCAGTTTGCCCGAACTGGTAGCATTTATTACTACTGATTCGGGAAAACTGGTCTGAACTGGTAGCATTTCACCCCTGGTCTGTAAGGACTTGATTACAGCCCATCCTCAGAAGTTATACACATGCCTTAGTCAGATGTTGCTTTAGCACCGCTGGAATACTGTGTGTATCCCTCTGCTTAAGTGGAAAGATTATTCTGCTGCAATGTTATGAGAATAGAATAGAATAGAAGGGATGGGATGGGATGGGATGGAATGGAATAGAATAGAATAGAATAGAATAGAATAGAATAGAATAGAATAGAATAGAATAGGAATATAGAATATAGAGAACAGAGAACAGAACAGAACAGAATAGATGGAATACAATGAAATGAAATGGAAAATAATAATATAACAGACAGAAATGCATTTTGAATTACGGTGATACCTCACTACTTGACTGCTTCAAAACTCATCAAATTTGGTACTCGACACATTTTGACATGAAAATGCTGTCCCAGTACTTGGTGTTTGTTTAGTATTGGATGCACTGTGATAGGAAGAGGGGGATGGTTGCGGAGAATGGACAGGAAGTCGGCCATGCTGGGAAGGTCTCTCCAAAAGGAGAGGGATAGCCACAGTGGGTGGACAGGAAGTCGGCCATGCTGGGAAAGTCGCTGATTTAGGAAAAGGAACAGACAGAAAGTTCTTCCCAGCTGAAACAAAGGATCACGTGATAAGTCACGTGATTTGGTCAGGACTCATCCTTTTTAGTAGTTTTCACACCTACTGGAACTAATGAACAGTGTATACAGAGGTACCACTGTATGTAATTTCCGTGGCTTTGTGCTTGAAGGCACTTGGAAAAACTCAAGCTTTGTTGTATTGCCTGATCCCCACCCCCACCCTGAGCATGTATTTTAGGTCACTTTGCTAAAACATTTATTAAGAATTTTATTTGAATGTAATCTCAAGTGCTTTCTTAAGAGGGAAAAAAAATGGCTAGGATACGCCAGCCGCTGCTTGTGACTGAAGCACTACATCATCTGCATGCAATAAGATTACAATGTGTTTATTAGCTACTTTAGAGTCGGGGGTGATGTTCCAAATTATTTATTTCGGCCACAAGAGGGGTTATGTGCTAATGGAAAAACATGGGAGGCTAAATGCATTCCTGTCTTATTCTTTTTTAATTTGGAATTTCTTTAATGTAGCGGCTTTCGGTGCCGCAACAAACTTTTACTCTGAAGCTCCCATGGCATCTGAACATTAACAGGATTAACTATCTACCTTTTGTAGCATGCATGAATTTACCCGTGACTTTATTCTAGAAATGAGAGCAAGTGTAGGGGTGGGCTGCTGGGGGTTTTGAGTGGTTTGGGAGAACCTATAGCTAAGATTCTGTGCAGTTCGGAGAACCCCCAAATCCCACTCCTGGCTGGCCCTGCCCAACCCACCCTGCCCCTCCCAGGAGTCCCCACATGGCCTCTTTTGGATGCAGGTAAGTTCAGGGCCCACAAAGAGGCTCAGGGAGGGTGAAAAACAGGCCTACTGAAACTTTGGGAAGGCCGGAAATGGGCCCATTTCTGAGGGCCACCGGAGCCTGGGGAGGCCGTTTTTGCCCTCCCGGAGGCTCAAGAAAAGTCTCCTGGTCCCGGGGAGGGCAAAAATGCATCTCCCACCCGCCATGGTGCAGGAGGCTGACAAGCCCACGCCCACCGTGATCACGCCCACTGTTAGGATATGGTTTGAGCCTAACAAGTTGTCCAGGCAATATATGTGTTCTGTGACTTTAATATGAATATGTATTGTGTGACTTCAAAGTTTTACTGCTGATTCATTGTAATGCTGAGTCGTGCTGTAATTAGATAATCACTGGCTGTAAACGTATTTAAGAAAGGTACTGTAACATATTCAGTTGATGATAAGCTACCATAGTGTGTGGAGTTGCTATCATTGTGCTGTCATCGTTGGATGGATCTGCTACCATCGTGGTTTGTGAACCAGAGTGAACTTGTTATTCTAACCAACTACTGTTTGTGTGGTAAGAAGATTTTTTGTATCACTGGACTGATTTAACTGGCAAAGACTCGGATTGATTTAAAGACTATGAGATTGTTTTTTCACTATAAAGTAAACTTTTGATAAACCGGTTTGCACATCTCTTATTCATTGCTCTCAGCAACGTTTCTCTGTGCTCTACACTCTGCTGGTTGGTAACACAACAACAATATCCTTAATACCCACCCAGCAACTGGACAGACAACCCCTTGCTAAAATTTTTGAAGCCCACCTCTGTGTAGCCCTGAAGTTGATGAATGTGGTACATAATACCAAACCTGGCTGACATAAATATTGTGGTCTGACGTTGAAATATAAGGATGTGGCCTAAGGAAGGCTGCCTCACTCTAAAACCTGCCTGTTTATTTGCCAAACATACCCTGAACTGACCCAATTGGACAATTTATTATATAAGTGCTTGGCATAAAGCTGATTTATTATGCTTAAGAAGTTGATAAGCTGGTAATTAGCAGGCAAGTCTTGATTGCTTTTTCCCATCATAGTGATATTTCATTAATTATAAAGGAATAGTGAGGCTCCATTATTGTTAAAATCTGCTGTCCTCTCTTAACCTTTTAATTTTAAAAAAAATGAATAGGTTAACTGTTTTATAGTCTTATTTAGGCCACCTGGAACCACTTTTTCATGAGTTCGGTGGCCATATACTGTAAATTTCATGAATAAATTAATAAATTGGGGTTATCTAAGGCAGGGGTCTCCAACCTCGGCAACTTTAAATCTGTGGACTTCAAATCCCAGAGTTCCTCAGCCAGCAAAGCTTATGGCTCTAGTTTATGAAAGAATTCTGGGACTTGAAGTCCACAAGTCTTAAAGATGCCAAGGTTGGAGACCCCTGATCTAAGGCTCCCTGCAAGGCTCCTAATCCAGGAGTTGTATGTGATTCTAAGACATCTGGCCCAAACCGTGAGCTGAAGAGGACTTTTAGTTTAATATCACGCAATGTAGGCCATCTAAATTTCTCCCACAATATTATGACAATATTTCAGAGAAGCCTGGTTCATATTCATGAACAAGTCTACAAATAGAATATGTTAGGTAAATTGTTTGAAAAACTGTGAATGGCAAACAAAACTGTAAACACAAAAATATTTATGCTAGATGAAACATGCACTAAGATATGTGCAAACTTTTTTTTCCGGGTGGGTTTCAAACAAATATGAAAATAGAAGGAAGGAAGCTTGCAAATGAACACATAAATTTAGAAAGAAATCAAATCTCAGCTTAGACTGAGTTTCTGAGGCTCTCCATCAATTCTCCAGCTGATGATACACTTTTCTGCCCTCTGGAAAACAAATGCAGGCTTTATATAAAACTATGGTATCGGGCAGTCGTTTTCTTTTGTATGCTGCTTTTAATCATGGATAAAATTTCAGAGGAAACTTTCTCCAGATCATTTAGAGAAGATTTGTCTCTAGACATCTCCTCCAAGCGTACACCATTTTCTACGAAGCTTTTGAAAAGAGAATTACAAACACCAACAGTTCATATGCATTTGTTCTGCTTGCGCTACACCGTTTCATTCTTAAACCTGTAGTAGATTTCTTCTACATCCCTAGTGTGCATTAAAGCACAGATGCATGCACCATTTGGGGCTTCAATAGTTTTAGATTTTTCTTACCTACCATGCCTCAAGTAAGAGCAAAACATGAAAAAGCATTCTCTGTTTTTATCTTAGGACTGCATTTTCCCAGTGCATAAAAAGTTACTCTGGTTTCAAGTACCAACAAATGTGAATATGTAATAGTTTATGCAAAAATCTATTATAGCTCTAGATATTGAGGATTTCAAACCTGGCTAACATGTTTCCCACAAGAACATGACCGCAACTTCATTATTCAACCATACAGCACATATGAACTAGCAGGACTATTCCGATAGACAATTTCCTCTGGATACTATCTTTCATTTAATGGAGAACATTTGTGATACTTTCATGAAAGGAACATTTTGGCAAGCTTTAAACAGGCAACTGGGGGATCTTATGTAACAACAAGACCAACCACAATCTCAGCAATAATATGCAGACCTTCCTCTAAAGAAAATCCAGACATTTCGAGAACATTTTGCAAAAATATGGCATTAACAATATTTTACATACACTGTCAAGATAGTTGAACTTGTCCAGCTGCAAGGAATACGACAAGTAGGACTTTTTGATAGCTTTCTTTTAAAAAAAAGAATTGAAGTTGTGTCTCCTACCTATCAATGATCACGGGATCTGAGGGAGTCTCATTACGGTTTCCACAGCTCTTCTTTTCACAGCAACGACTGATGAGGAAATAGCACAAAAGGAAAAAGAATTCAGTAATTATAACATATAGTGCTACATAATTGTTTTTGGGGGGTTTTATACTCACTTACCTTAATTTAAAGGCATTGGGTAGTTCGTACTAATGAATTTTTTTTTACTGATAAAAGTGCACAAACCACAATAACTGGGGAGTGTCATAGATAATAGGCTTCTGCTAAAGAACAGCTTCAACACTGCTTCGTAGCCATCCTCAGTGCTGGTGCTATAACAAGGGTGTCAAACTCAATTTCATTGAGGGCCACATCAGGGCTGTGGTTGACCTCAGGGGACCGGCCAGGCATGGCCGACTGGGTGGGTGTGGCCAACTGGGTGGGTATGGCCAGCTTGATGCCACTCCCCAAACTGCTGCCATGTTTCCTCTTCACACTGGGTAGACCGGGCCAAAGCCATGCTGGCCCAATGTTTCCCCTTCGCATTGGGTAGACTGGGCCAAAGCGATGCAGGCTGCCCCCTTACATTTTCCAGGATGGCCTTGCAGCCAGATCCAACCACATTGCCAGGTGGATGCAGACTGCAGGCCTTGTGTTAGACACACCTCTGCTAAACAGTAACAGAGAAAACGCCAATCTCCACCAAACTGAGATTATTGCTGAAGGGGTAGAATTTACTCTAGGCATTTACATACTAAACCAGTTTGAGGACCCAGTTTGTAGGGGCAATAAGCTGACTTTGTATAAATATACAAAAGGATGAAGGCTATTGCTTAACGCATTGTAAGCCGCCCTGAGTCTCCGGAGAAGGGCGGCATATAAATCAAATTAAAAAAAAAAAACCACAAGAAATTAGACATTAAATACATGGATAAATGCCAAAAGTTTACATTCTCATGTGCTACTATATATTCTGAATTTGGATCATACATTAAATTATAAATTAATCACCACTCGTTGTATTCATGTAATACAGTGAGGCTTAAAGAAAAGTTAAAGCTACCCAACTTAATGTATTGAGTGAATGCAACCACTAAGCCTGGGAATACAGATACCTCTCTTAGCGCATGCCAACTCCTACCACAACTGAATTTTTAATTTTTCTTTTTTTAAAAAAAGAAGGGGCAAGAATACCTCGGATTCCTTAGTATTCCTACTAACCCTTCTTAGAAATTTAAAGGAGAGTCGTGGAAACTCTTTAATTTACATGACCAGAAACAGGACAAGGGGGAGCTGGGACAGTCAATAGTAATAAGAGAGGATCATTGCCAAAACACGTAGCATTTTGGGAAATTGAAGGCGTGTGACTGGTTATACCTCTCAAATCAGCTCTTTTATATAAATGGGCAATCCTTCCAGAAATGTAACTGGCAATAGGAATAACCCTGAGGAACAGGAAGAGGAGACACAAACAAAACAATAGTCAGATAAAAAAAATCTGAGTCTATCTGGGGCAGAAACGTAATTTAAAAAGCATCTCAGACTTAACCTTCCTTAGTTATTATCATAAAGATATAGGTGGTGGGGAAGCATATTCAGACTCGTAAATTTCTGTTACTTCCAATAAAAGTGGTATCAACATTCATATCTCTGGTTTCCTGGTCTAGTCTATCACAAAGCACTGAAAAGCTTGTTAAAGGAGTCAAAACAGGTTTGCCGTATTCCAAATGGACCCAGCAATCAGAAATGGTTAGGGATTCCAACTATTGTTAAATATGTGCATGTATAAATAATTACCATAATTTACAGTACTCAATATTATAATGGGAACAATGTTCACCAGATGGCCTATGGGACGGTTCAAACCTTCTGCTTGGACATAATGAGTGATGGTCAACCTAAGCCTATTCCACCGTCTTATGGCTCTAGATTATGAAAGCCAACTTGAACAGGGCAGACTAAATTATAAACCATGGCTTACAAAGTCATAATGGCTGGGTACGCAAACCCTGCATTGCCAGGGATTGAAAGATTAGCATGCAAAGCATACTTTAGGTCCCAAATGAAGCAAATAAAATATTTAAAAGTTATCATATTTATCAGTGGTGAAATCCAATTTTTTTTACTATTGGTTCTGTGGGCATGGCTTGGTGGGCATGGCAGGGGAAGGATACTGCAAAATTTCCGTTCCCACCCCACTCTGCAGCCAACCAGAGGTGGTATTTGCCAGTTCTCTGAACTATTCAAAATTTCCACTACTGGTTCTCCAGAGCCTGTCAGAACCTGCTGGATTTCACCCTTGATATTTATGTAGTTGCTTACGAAGCACATCTAAATTATATTAAAGTAACCAAAAATATATTTACAATCCCCAAGGCATGTCACAACTTTTGAGTACCCCTAATGTTTGGAAATTGAAAGTTGAAAAAAATGACACACACACACACACCCCACACACACACACACACTAGAAGAGGAAACATCATGTAACACGAAGCCCAGACACAGATCATATCAGGCTCAACACTCTGTGAAGAAGAATGTTAATTTGCTTTTCATGGATTGGGATTATTCAGTGAAACTTTTCTTCTAACAGGGTCCAATTGGGATCGGTCACCGGGACCAGACATTTTGTCTTCTGAACTTTCAGATTCATGCTGGAGCCCATCCTCGGGGAACTTTTCTGTAGCTGGAGAGAAGTTTCCTGAGGATGGGCTCCAACACGAGTCCAAAAGCTCGGAACACAAAGCCTCTGGTCTCGGTGACCAACCCAGATTGAACCCTGAAACATGATCCTGGGACATGTATATTCACCTTCATTCATGAGTATAGATGAGGTTCATAATAGTTTTCTTTCTGAATCCTTGCCCAGTTCAAGCCTTGCATTAGCATAGCTTGGCCATATTGCATGGAAAGCTATGTAATTAATTAATTAATTAATTAATTAATTTATTTATTTATTTATTTATTTATTTATTTATTTGACTGCCCATCTTCTCACAGAGTTATGAGCCTCATATGATCTGTGTCTGTCCTTCGAGGTACATGATGTCTCCTCTTATATAAGGACCTAAATGATGCGTTGATGCCAGCCTTCAATCCCTGGTAATGCAGGAAAGATTGCGAAAAACCCATCATGAAATTCTGGAGACCCTTAGCCAGCTACTCTTAGCCGTGAATTCATACATCTTTCTAAGCTTCAGACAGGCTGCACGCATTGAGCTAAGACATAATCTAGTTTGCTTATCTTAGGTTTGTTGTGTTGTGTTGTGTTGGCTCAACCATTATGGAGCATGGCTAAGCAAACCATTGCTACCTCGAAGGTGTGATCTGTTTTTTGGAAAACATAAGTTGTTTTCCAAATATTAACATCACTCTAGTCTGTTCAGACTTGGTTAGTAAATCATGGTTGATATAAATTCATATATTTGTGAATATATGAATCTAGCCAATACTAAGCAGGTTCTTTCTTCATTTCTAAGCTTAGCTGTTGTACAGTAGTGGCCAAAATTGTTTAAACCTTTTGGGAAAAGTGTATTTTCTAAAACTAGCTAATAGCACCACTTTTTGGGGGGAGAGTAGTCTCATAAAATTATATATCAATGGAAATATAATTTAATCAAGAATGTAATGCAATAACTTTTATGAAGGATTTGCTATTAGAATAGCAGTTACAGTATAAGAAAAGTGAAACACGTAGAAAAAACGAGATATACAAAAATTATCACCATAGAAAAAACGAGATATACAAAAATAATCACCATGTCAGTTAATACTTATTTGGGTAACCTTTAGCATGAATTACGACCTTACAACGTCTTCCCATGGAGTGAACTGAGTCTTTTAGTTCTGCAGCTGTTATAATGTGAAACCAAGATTGAATGATGGCTTCTATTAACTGGATTTTATTGCTGGGTCGCTTCTGACTAGCAAGTTTCTTTAGTCGGCTCCATAGATTTTCCATTGGGTGAAGGTCTGGGCTATTCCCAGGCCATTCCAGCAGTGGAATAGGATTATCTTGAAACTCCAAAAAAAAAAATGGTGTTATTAGCCATCAAACCTCAAAAATACACTTTTCCCAAAAGGTTCCCACAATTTTGGCCACTACTGTAAGTTGCAGAGTTGGAGAAGGTGACCCAGTTTCCAGATGAAGATTTAATGGACACCTTCACTGGACCAATCTCTATCTGGATTATGAACCTCATGTCAGCCTTTTGCTTTATTAAAGCAAATATTAATAAATTCCAGATTATTATTTTTTGAATGGTGTAATATTGTGTTTTAACAGCAGGCTATTATACACACGCCCAGGACTACACAAAGTATAATGTGAAGAACCAGGATGTCCAAGAAATCTTCGTTGCTCAAAGAAAGTTTTACATTTTTTCCCCCTTCTGGGGAAAAAAAAGGTTTTAAAATTCAGCTTTCAACTTTAAAAAAAAAAAAATCTGTCTCTAATTTCAAACTGAAATAAGCCCCCAGCATGGTGGCCTTTGTTTTGTTTTCTTCTCCTCAACTCCTCCCTGGCATTGCATAACAAAAGTGTCTAAATTCACACCATCTGGCCAATAAAGACCTAAAGCTCGCTGGCTGACTGGCTCAGCCGATTCTGTCTGCTGCTGTCTAGTCTGAGCCTCGTGGCGAAAGTCACAGCTGTGGGTCTCACTTGCGCTCAATGCAACTCTGTTATTAGCCAGCTGTAGGCCTCGAGACTACTTCTGTTCACATTATAATACCTTTTCACCCCCCCCCCCCCCCCCCGCCTCAAGGCCAGAGAGGCTTCTGGCAACAGCTGAACGAAGGACGCACCGTTTGCATCTTGCAAATACTTGGCAAGCAGAGGGGAAAGGATTATTCCAGGGGAGATGCCTTGTTTTTATTTATGTCCATCTGACAAACCAAGAATATGCACCCATATTCTGCTCCTTGAAGAAAGCATCGCGGCCTGATGCATCTTAGTGTCTCCATGCTACCTAGTTTTGTTCAGATGGGAGTTTCATTAGAATCAGTGGGACATCGGAGAGCATGAACTGACTTAGAGGCAGCCATCAATAACACGGAACAGCTCGGCTCCACCACGGAAATGC